GTGACTGCAGAAGAAATTAGTTTAGGATTAAGGGAATACTTGTGTGGAGGACACCAGCAGCCGGTGGTTGTCGCACCTGCCTGCTGCGGTCGCTGATCCTTTAAAGAACCATTTGATAACTTTCCAAACATCTGTTCTCCATTCGAGACAGACTATTAGAGGAAGTCATTGGCCAGCGTATATTGATTTTTGTTTTTAATATATTTCTTGCGCTTCTATTTCGACGTCCTATTAAATAGAACCCTCATTTTATGAGAATATTTCTCGGAAATAGCGCGATCGTAATACATCAAATTTTATTGTTGTAGTTTATCAAAATTTATTCAAGAATACGATGCGCACTCTCGGAAAGCTATAACCACGTCCGGTCTTTAAAAGCTTTCCAAGTTTTGACAGCGGAGAGAATTAATGTTTGATACAACGTAGTGCGTGATGCACCATCTGTTCCGATTCCAGTTAATTGCTCGTTTAATCTAAACATCCGAAATAAAAGGAACAAAAGGATGCAATATTTATCTTATTTACAGTTTTGACATAAAACATTTCAAATCTTTCTTATTATAAAAATATTTATAATGAAATATATAATTCCATTGATCAACATTACAATATTAAAAAAATAATAAGTATATTAAATTTAATTAACAAATTTTCACTTTAAAAGTAATTTAAAATGATATGTAATTTTATATTTGTACTGCTGTTAATATAAAAACTTTGTAGCGTATAAGAGATTGTTGAATGAAAATCAGATTATTTACAAACACACATGAGCCAATGTTTGGAATTCTTGAATCCGTTGCTGGCTCGCATCTGGGTACCTTTCAAATATATATTCAATGGACAATGCACAATGTCAAGTCTCCTTGCGCAATCGAGTTTCGGCCTCGGGGCTTCTCCTTGCTTGTATCTCCAGCACCGAGCAGGTGCAAACGTTGATTTCGCAGCTGCGGCCGTGCACCGGAGAATTTGCACACGTCCCTCGTCTCTCTTTTCTTTATAATCTCACCGAGCCAATCTGGAAAATCTTCTATAGTTAGGACTTTCAATCCCCGTCTTACGCTCTTCCGTCAATCCGTTCTTCAGCCTCCGCGATTCCACTCAGGACTCTCTCTTCTTTCCTGGCTAGAAACGAAATAATCTGAAATTACTCGATGCATTTTTATTCACTCCGACGCTTCTTAACGCTCGCTAAAAGTCTGTTATTGCAAAAATGAAATCCTTGCGTCGAGCCGACTCGGTTGTGCTCCAAACTTTCCTCCGCAAAGTGCGAAACTTTTAAACTAACAATATTAAATATTGCTAGTCGTTACCCCTTGCCAGAAGAGATCGTTACATACGAAAGTTAATTTGCGCGCCTGCAACTTCAAACATTATTATCCTAATTATGAAGGCTGACTAAATTTTACCTGAGACTTTGAACGTAACTACGAGATTTTCACGCAGTTTCTGAGATGAAACGCTATCAAACGCGCCAAATAGTATGTATATTCACAATTTCTTTTATATATCTACATGATACCTACATGTATATTTATATGATAAAGTCACGAGATAATTTTATTAATTTTCAGAACATTTTTTACATTATTTATTAATCATCGAGAAAAATAATATCTTGAGTAAATAAAGTAACATATCTAGTCTACCAAAGATATATGTATTTTAGGGAAAATCCATAGGGAGTATCCATAAGTAAACTTCGTATACCTATGTCACTAATTCAAAGATTAAAGCTATCGGCAACGGGATATTACATAATAATGCAAATTTGAACAAGATACTGTTGGAGATTCGACTGAAATGCTCCACTAAGAAAACATCTCTCTTGCATCAAACATCGAATCTCTCTGGGTCTCGTGTTCGTTGGTGCGCCGAATTGTTATTCGATAATTTCTCTTATCGAACCATTCGTCATCAGGGCTTATCGACAATGATAAGAAGGGGAATAACCCCCGAAGGCGTCCTCCTGGAAGAGAGAGCGTTTTTAATGAGCCGTCAGTAGATATACTCGAATGATTTGTCACACATCTCGTCGACTTGGGATTTTTTTGGAGTGAGAAATTGTCTTGTTGGTTTAAATTTGTGGCCTAGGCGATTTTATCGCGCCCTATCGTATCTAAATCGACCGGCGTTCCTAGATTATTCCCCGAAGTTGCGGGCCATATGGCGAGACTTGAAAGAAACGCCTTCCTCGTCGATATAACGTCTCCTACCACGAATATCAGATAAAATTCGATATATCGATCACCAATGGAAGCGGAGGATCTTCGGTAAGGACGTCATTTTCAGTCCGATTCTCCGCTTGCCTTGGCGCACGTGTTATTATCGTATTTATACGCGTATTATGTTACACGAATTATTTTTATCCACTATCGGTTAGTTCTAAATATAGTCCAACCCTTTTCTTCAACCTACTCGTGCGGAATTAATGACTCTTCTCCTGTATCAATATGGGATGTTAAAGAAATTGTTACGAAGAAATAAATAACAACACTTTACTCTTTAGTTAATTTCACGTAAATTAATTAACCGCAGCAGAAATTTAATTTGAGAGCTTTGATTGACAGAGAGACATTCCTTTAATATAAAAACATAAAATAATGAATAAAAACGGGAGAATTTTTTTAAAGCTTATTGACTTCATAAATGACTTAATTATGATAATGAGAAACATGTTTCATATGCTTCTTTTCTAAGGAGTTTAAACTATATTAGAGACATACACACACAAATAAGCAGTTTTATCATTTTAAAATTAACTGCTTATATCTGGTTTAACAAAGGACTTAATTACAAATCATTCAGTTGTGCGATAGTCACCAGACTCGAAACGTGTCATGTCCCCTTGAGAAAAAGAACACTATAGTCTTCTAATTGGCCCAGTGTTTCTCGATGAGATGACAAAAGAAGAGTCGTTTAGCTCAAGGTAGCGTTTAAGCCGTCTTGCTCGTCGTCCTTGAAAAAATCGAACGCATCACGAGTTGCGTAACCTAAATGTCCCTCCATCCGTTCGATCGGTCCATTATCCTCGCCCCGACGAGCCGTGCGATAAACAAAGCCTCGTGGAAATGGCGCGGTGGCTTGAAGTACATGCGCTACCTTGCTGCTGCTGTATGTACGTAGATACGTGCGGGCATACACGTGGTTGCTAATAAGCCTGTCACATGTGTGCCTAGCATTGTGCCGGAAAATTGTGAACGATGTACAGGGGACGTGAATGCGGGTGCCTTGTCTGCATTATGTCATACGTACCTTCGAATAATTAACTTTCCCGTTATGCACTTTCTGATTGACCCATGTCATTCCAGAGAATATGCGGTCTGAGATAGATAATGCATGTATCAGAAAATACATGTTTATATCTCGGATAATTTGTAAAACCTTCGAATTACACTAAAATTTTATTTTTTTTATGTCAAATTGATAATATTAGTATTTTTTTTTGCGGATTTTTATTCGCTAAATTTATTTTGAAGAAAGCAGAATTTTTGAGTAACATATATTGATAAATTTTATAAATTGATATTTTTCGATAATTCATTGGTCGACAAAATTTTTACTTTTTTCATATTGATTCGAAAAGATATTTTTTCTAATATTTTCTGCTAGTTATAAATTTGTTCATCAAATTTAAGAGGAGAGCAGATTTTTTTTATTGTAACATATATATTATAATGTCTCTACTTATTTCTTCTGCTGAGACATAAATAAAAAATAATTCATAAAGAATAGCTACTGAATTCAACATGATTTTTTACTCATTATATAACAAAAGGCTTCAAATAAAAATAAATTGTTTTAATTAAGAAAAATATATATCTTTCTTGTTAGCTCTTGTTAGCAAAATGTATGTTTTTAAAAACTTATGTCGTTTACAAAAAATTCGAGCTTGTAGAATAAATTTTAATCTCTCATTTTCTGAATCAGCGTTTAAAAATACACAACAAGCAGTTAAAATTACTCAATTAAAAAATCATTGTCGAGTAGTTATTGATTATTTCTTAATCTTATAAACTATAATACTCTAATTAATCATTAATTTAAGAGGCAGAATTTCTGAAAACGTGGTTATGAGTTATAAAGCGACTGAATCATTATCTTACCTTAAGCAATTGTTGTAAAAGTCCAAATATTTGTGTACAATAGGAGGAAAAATAACTAATCCCGTTGCACGGGAGAAAAAAATCTCATTAGACATTTACATTTATGTTGTTTTCATTTTTTTACATTACGTAAACTCGTCCATTTCGAGATCTTCTGAGTTTAACAAGAGATCTTTCCTTACATCGTGCCAGCGCTGTAGACTGCTTAAATTTTCACGGGGATTAAATTTGTAATAACCCTACCATGGCGCATCTACCCTCCTTTCTTTAAAATGCAGCGTTTTCTTGCATGCAGGATTAAGAGCGTCCTAAATTCACTGCATATTCTTTTGAATAATTAAGAGATTTTGAAGAATTGAGCTACAGGAATATATAAATATATAACATCGATCTTAAGGATATTATGAATAAATAATGTCATACTACAGCTTAAACTTTCGGTTTTGATTGAGTAGGGAAATGTGCGTTATTGAAAATTCAGAACCTGCGACAAAAGTTGGCACGAAATTGTCGGAGAGGAAAAAAAAGTCGGCTTCGTAATCGCCAGGCAGTACGTTCTTGGAGAGCAATGAATTTGGTACGTTCTATGTGTATACATGTACTTTTCTCTGAAAAAATATATAAGTGGAACGAGGTTTCGTTGATTCTAATTACCCTGACTAACGCACCGACGGCATCTTGCCTGTTTAATTATAATTCCAGCCATCCCCGTGGAACTTCGCTTCAAAGTTCCGGGTTACATCGGGGAATGATCGTGGCCTCTTTCGCCGCAATCATAAAATTTAATAGAAATTAAATTATGGCGCGCCGTAGTGCAATATTTCGCGCCAATCTTCCTCGCGGATGAGAGTGGAAGGGAAGGGGAGAGTTACGAGGAGGAAGGAATGAGGTGGATGAGGAGAAGCAGGAGGAGAGTCGAGGAGAAAACGGAGAGGAAAAAAGCGTAAGCCGCTATTACGAAACGTCAAGAAACAATTATTATCGCGCCATAACGTGGCATAGGCACGCCAATTAGGAGGCGCCAGTCGTCGCGATTGCGCCCAGTTTTTACGGTGCTACAACGGCCTTACATAATCTCCCTGTGCTCAAAGAGCTTCCGTAATTCTTGGTCTAATCAAGCTACGCCACTTCTTCTCTACCTGTTTGCTTCGCTTCTCTTTTTCATTGTGCTCTTCTCATCCCTCCGGTTTTCCGTCTTCTCTCAGTCTTCTTTCCGTTTTTTATTCCCTAAGAAAAATGACATTATTAACATCCGACGTTCATGAGCGAAGCATTCCTTAAAAGGTTTCTTATCGCACGATTTTCTGGCGAATGACAATGTTTCCTTTCAGGAATGAAACTTATACAATTGTTTACTGTACGTGGGCGAATCAGTAAATAATAATCTGAGAGTAATCATCTCATTTCTTTTTACATAAACGATCACATAATATGTTTT